TATGGTTTCGTGGTCTAGTTGGTTATGGCATCTGCTTAACACGCAGAACGTCCCCAGTTCGATCCTGGGCGAAATCAATTTCTTTTTGAATTTTTTTTCCTTAGCTGGATTACTTGAGCATACTGCTCTTCTAAGACCTTTGGTTATTTTAATTTTTTTTTTTATCTTATTTCACATGTGATATAGAAATTACTATAAAAGTTTTGTTTTCTACAATCTAGAGTATCCCAAAAATATTTTTCTGTATATCATTGTACCTAATCTTTTACAATTGAAATGCCCCCAATTTCAGTGATAACATTGTGTCATCTAGAAATAAAGAAGATAGAAATAATTTATAACTCACTACCAAATCCAAATTATAACAAGTTAAACCGGTGTTGTTTAATTTTTATATATATATATTATTCTAAACTCTTCAAAAAACAGTAAATTTCTAAGGTGCACTCTGACCCAATTTTGCCTATCACTCGAACAAAATCTTAAATTCAAAAAGAAACAATTAGATATGTACACTTAACTAAATGCAAAAAAGTTTTATAAAAAGGATATATGAGCAGATATAAAAAATGAAAAAATATATATAAATAAGGTAGTTGGTAATCATAACAAAAAATAAATATCAATTTTGTTTGGACGTCAAAGTAAATTCTTAGTTTTTGTCCTTTCTGTGGTCACCAAATAATTGTTCAAGATCGGCTGGATCGCTTGACTTACCAAGAATGTAATCCAATGGCAATTGTTTTGAATATAACTCACCACTCTTCAAATGGTCTCTAACCATTTCTGCTAAACCTTTGGTTAACAATTCACTTTCATTTAGGGAATTACATCTTTTTAATTTATCTTTGTATTCAGACTCTTCAATCATGCCAATATCTACTTCATGTAAAGTTTCAATATGATCCGAAGTAAAGGATACAGGCACAAGACAAATACCAGGGATCTTTGATGAATCCATACCACTTAAAAACTTTGATATAGCCAAAGTTTGTGCACCTAACCAAGGTTTAGGTCCGACCTGTGATTGCCAAGTTAATCTATAAGGATTTTTAAATTTTAATTTTGTCATAATTTGATATACTGTAGCGGCAACTTCTGCTGGATATGCATCACCTGTATTAACGACATCCATTGGTAACGAATGAGAAGAAAACAAAATGACAACTTTATCTCTTATATTTTCTGGGAATTCACTTAATTTCTTAGTAATATTAGTAACAAATGCATCGACTAATCCTTTATTTGAAGGCCAACGATCAATTGTTGACCAAACAATAGATCTATTTGGATCTAATTTCTTTACTTGTCTCCATAATTCATTAATGGAGGATCCAGTTGTTGAATAAGAAAATTGTTGATATTGAGTCAATGCAACAGCTCTAGTGATACCATCATCTAACATTTTTTGATAAGTTTCATCAGTTAAAGGTTTAGCATAGCGAAATGCTACATAAGGATAATGTGGTTTAGTCTCGGGACTAATTTCATCTAACATTTTACAAACTCTTGAAGATTGATATTCTGACCATTTACGTATAGGTGAACCGCCACCAATTTCCTTATATTGTTGTTCAATTTTTGGGGTTCTAAATTTAGCAATATATTTTGCTATTAATGGCTGAAACCGCTTATTAATAGGAATAAGGTCATTATCAGCAAACAATTGATACAGAAAATCATGAGTCTCTTCCACAGTGGAAGGACCACCCATGTTCATAAATACAACACCGGTAGCCTGAGATTTCTTCAACTGATAACCTTGTGAAAAACAGCGTCTTAATACATTTGTATTCGATGGCGTTCTAGCAGCCTTAATTGAACTGAACATCGCTTAGTGTCAGTGTCTAATTTTGATCTAAAATCTTTGGATACCACAAACAAACAAATTACAAATACAACGGAAAATACCACTACTTAAATGGATTCCAACTCCCCCTTTCTCACTTCCAAACCCATAAGGGAAGTTAACCCCTCGACTAGTGAAAAATCCTTTAACTTTGATCCCATTCATGCAGAAAGAACGAATAATAGGGATGGAAAAACCAAACCCTAAGATGTCATAATCAGGGCGAGAAAAAGTATGTAATCCGGATCATCTTCGCTTCAAGAAAGGCAGAGAGAGAGAAACTGAAATCTGTTGAGTGCTACACATACACAAGAATCGTAGGTAATTGGAAGTATGAAACCGGGGTTTAAAGGATAAGTGATACAGAACTTGGAATTCACTGGAGTGTTTCGAGCTTTTAAGCGAATTTAAGGATTGTGGTTTTTGAGACTTGATCAGGAGAATACCAATATTGTGAATCATTTTAAGTGTTTCTGATTTGTGAAGTTCTAAACTTTTTCAAAAATAGAGCAAGAGATGTATAACTTCATCGATGCTGGAATACAGCATCTCTGTGAGACATACGGTATTGATAATTTTACTTTACGTTTTGCCATTTGTTTACTAGGTTCATTCCCATTGAATGCGATACTGAAAAGGTTACCAGATAAACGTGTCAATTTGAAATGTGGTTACATTATATTTATTTCCTTCATATATCTATTTGGTGTAATGAATTTACCTTCAGGTTTTAGAACACTATTTATTAGTTCTACATTTACCTTTTTGATTACTAGATTTTACCATTCTGCATTTATGCCTCACATTAATTTTGTATTTGTTATGGGTCATTTAGCATTAAATCATATTTATGCTCATTTTGCATCAAATTCAAGTAATGTAAACATTAATTCCCAAATCGATATTACAAGTGCTCAAATGGTCATGGTAATGAAATTGACCTCGTTTGCTTGGTCATATCATGATGGTACTTACTTAAATAAAGAAGAATTTGATACTCAATTGACTAAATATCAACAATCTAGAGCTATCAAGAGTCATCCTTCTTTATTAAAATATTTTGCTTATGTGTTTTTTTATCCAACTATATTAACAGGACCAAGTTTTGATTTTGTTGATTTTGATTCATGGCTAAATTGTGAAATGTTTAATGATTTACCAGAATCTAGAAAACCATTAAATAGATATCATCAAAGTAAAAGAAGACAGATTCCTAAGAATGGTAGATTAGCAGCTTTGAAAGTTGTACAAGGTTTATTTTGGATGGTACTTTACTCTGTACTACCCAGATATATTAATATTACTACTGTCTTAAACTCATCTATATTCATGTCTCATAATTTCATTTACAGAATACATTACATGTACCTTTTAGGTTTAGTCACCAGATTTAAGTATTACGCCGCATGGACTATCTCAGAAGGGTCATGTATCGTATGTGGTCTGGGTTATAATGGTTACGATAAAAAGACCGGTGAGATCAAGTGGGATCGTGTAAAAAATATCGATATTATGGCCGTAGAGACAGCTCAAAGTACAAGAGATTGTTTAGAAGCTTGGAATATGAATACTAACAAATGGTTAAAATATTACATATATTTACGTGTGGCAAAGAAAGGTAAGAAACCAGGATTTCGTTCAACCTTGTTTACATTCCTTACTTCTGCATTTTGGCATGGATTCAGTGCAGGTTACTATTTAACGTTTGCAACAGGTGCCTTATATCAAGCTTGCGGTAAATTTTACAGAAGGAATTTTAGACCAATATTCTTGAAAGCAGATGGTATTACGCCAACAAAATATAAATGGATTTATGATTATTTAGGTGATTATGTTATCAAAATATCTTTTGGATACTTGATTCAACCATTCTTAGCATTGGGATTCACTGATTCGTTAAAGGCTTGGGCATCTGTGTACTTTTATGGTCATATTATTGTCCTTGTATCGTTCTTCATATTCAAAGGTCCATATGCTAAATCTGTAATGAAGTTCTGTAAGTCTTTACAATCGAAGGAAATTGAAGCCTTGAACCAGAAGAGGATTGAAAAGGACATTTCAAAGAGTTCTGGAATCTTGAGTGATATTATAAAGGATAAGATTGAATACGAAAAACAAGCTACAACTAATTCTGATGAAGAATTAGATCCATTAGAGTTACACGAAATGAATCTAGGTATTCCAAATATCGATGATGCAGATTGGGATGAGGCAAAAGAAGATTTCAACAAATTTATTAATGAATATAATGAATGGAAGGATAAAAAGGGTCTTGAGATCGAAGAAGAGAATTTATCCAAGGCCTTCCAAAATTTCAGAAACGAGTTGGCTGAAACTGCTAACAATGCATCTGACACTACCAGAAAGATGAGTTTTAGTAGTTATTCTCCTCGACCAATCTCTAAGAAGGACAAATAGTGCTTTTTCCCCCTTCAAAGCCAAAATGTTATTAAGGGTCAACTATATACATTTTCCTCTTATATTTTTTTTGAATGACAACAGTATATTTATTTATATATATACATATATAGATATTATGAGATATTATTATATTTGTTTTAGAATTCATCTGGGTTAAAAAGATCCAGATCTAGATCGATATCTTCATTGTCACTATTCTCTTTCTTTTCTTCGGTATGAGTTTCATTATTACCACCAAATACAAATGATTCCCTTCTTTCATCAGATTTATCACCAGCTTCTAATTCCTGTTTACCAGGCATTGATTCATCACTATTTTCTTTATTATTATCCTCTGTGGTTGAAATGGTAGCAACCAATTCCTTTTCAGTCGTTTGACCTTGAATAGCAGTCAATTTATCACTGTTCAACGAGGCAAGAGCCAACATCCCTCTTCTCAAAGCATCGTCACCTGGCCACACAAAATTATTTGGACCAATAGATCCTTTATCAAATGTAGGCGGTATCTTTGTAAATTTCGAAAGTTTTGTAGCATAATCCAATAACGTTGTCGAGCTAACCTTCTCTCTCTGTGCTAATATAGTGTCTCTCTCAAACTCTACTTGATCCAAACTTGGTAAGCTGTTTAGATTATCATGACATTCATTCAATGTTTCCAGTATATCTCTAGTTTGCTGATCAATAGCTATACGCTTAGCCTCTAATGTACTAAGTCTGGAATCAATATCGTCATATTTGGCAAAAGTACCGAGACTAGAGAAGGTATCAGAGTCCGCCTGTATTAATTCCTGTACATATTTTAAATTAGGATGAAATTTATCCACAGATTCTATCAGCTTCGCCAAAACATCTTCATATTCCGTTAGATTTTTGTATATTTCGATCTTCGCCAATTTGTCTTCTAATGTGTTTCCTGAGGAGCCTGCTCCAGATGTGGCCTCTGCTAAAAGTGAAACAGAGGAGGATCTAACATGTGCCATACCAAATTCATGAGTTGCCATTATGATATTTAGTATACAGAGTATAGGCCACTTATTTCTCAATCTACGCGGAAACTTGTGTTTATAGGAATGTTTAGTTGAAATTTACGTATATGTAAATATATATTTTAAATATCGCATGTGTTCAAAAGTTAAGAAACTTAAAGGAAAAAAATATTTTGAGAATTTGAGAAGACGACATAGTAAAACAGTTACATTTGAGAAATGTATAACGAAAATAACAGACACTAACATTTCTCCAGAACATATTTACAACAATGATACATCTATTTATATTATTTAGTAATTATTTCCATGTTACGAATGTCAAAACTATATGAAAAACCAAGAAAGTCAGTCTCATTTCTTCTGGTTTGTTAGTGCAGGTTATCTGATGGAATAATTAAACAGTGTTTAAAACAAAATGTCCCCTTATGAATATATTTTCAATTTGGCACTTGGATACTATTAATTATTTCGGGAAGTTCTTTAATATTTGCTTCTTTCAATTGTTTTTGAACCTCATTTTTTAGTCCCCTTGACCATAATGGATGATTCTCTCCAATGGTATATGTAATACACGTAGATTTCCATCCATCAGGACCTAAGAAATCCAAGTTTTCTATGGCATCATCTATTTGTATTGCCTTCCCGTCATGTAATCCACCACTAAGACCTGGGTGCTTGATATGTACAACATGAATATGTAAATGATAATATGAAGGTTGATAATGGATAAAGATACGTAACTCATCGGCTCGAATGGCATAGTTGTAACATGGTGGGATAACAGATTTTAATAAACTGTTAATTTTGATCAACCAATCCTTATGGTGTGGTCGAAAATCCCTAATGGACTTGATATCATCTCTGTACATTAGTGCAACTAAATACAAAGATTCCAATGTCTCGCCATCCCATCTTGTATCCGGCAATAAAATAAACCCATCATTTTTATTGAGTTCATTATATTGTTTGTATATGATCCTTCCTTCCTCTGTATTTTCATATAAGATTTTGTAAACCCATTCCAATTTTTTGAAAGTGGACATCTCATCTATAAAGGGTTTAACAATATTTTCATACATCTCCGGTGTTTCCTTAACAATGTGCAACTTCTGCTGATCATATCTTCTTATATGAACATCTGTAGCAGGCCATATTATACTAATCTTAGCAGTCGGGTTTTCATCTATGTGTTCCCTCAGTACAGCTAAGGCCCAATGGAAGTTATCATTAGAGGTTAGTTCGTTTAACTCAATAACACCTTTCACAAAAGAAAATTCACTCGCACATGGGTCTCTTAATCCTAATTCATCATCAGAAACTGGTGCAACTTCATTTTCACCAGTCCTAACAAAACGACATTCTCTTTTCGGGTTCTTGTAACTGTTTATACTCATAAGAGGAGGATGTATAGACTGCCTTCTAATAGTATCATTGTGAATAAAATGGGTCTTTTCTGCAGTTAATATTGCATCTCTTGAGTCAACAGTTCCAAGTAGCGATACTATCTTGGTTTCCGGGTTAGAATCAAGATTTCTAATAAATTTAAATTTCTGCAGTAATTCGCTCAATGTATAAGATCGGTTATAACTCTGAGGACACATGTTGATTAGATAACTATACGAACTACCATGCACGAATAATTATAACCAAATAAAGAAAGAAATCTTATTAAGATGAATAATCTACATAATAAAAGAAAAATAACTTAAAATTATATAATACCATCCTTGTTTAAATACATGAAAATTTTCAGTGGGTAAGGTACCCTTAATTTCCCTTTAACCATGAGAGGGCAATCAGCAGAGTGAGTGTTCGCGCCTGTTTTAGTATTTGTATCCTTTCAAGATAGGGTGCTACCTAGATATTTACGGTACACATGATATCCCTTATAATTCATTTTCAAAATCTTGGAATAACAAGTCAGAATCATTTAATAATTTCTCCCATCCTGTATTATAACTAGACCAGAAATCGTCAACTAATTTCTGTGCCCTCTCCGCTTCAACAGCATTAATCTTTTCGCCAGTGCTTGATATAATCATAGGTTCTTTACTATTTTCTGGTAATATATTGTTATTTTTTGCAGTAATATTTTCATCAATTTTTTTATTTGATGAGTTTACCTTATCCTTTTCGTTCAAAATTTCAATATGTCTTTGCAATTCATTGATTTGATTTTGCTCCTCAAGTTGAAACTGGTACTGTAAATAACCGTGATATGCTTGCTTGGCACTAATATTTTCAACAGGGTTTTGTTGACCAGCTGCAACTGATTGATTTATTTGTGAATTAGATGGGAATTCACAACCAATAGAAGACATAATTCTTGAGTTTTCACCCAGACCTTGTGCTATCCACGAACTTTCTATCTTCTTTCTATGTTCTAAGGCCTTTTCAACAATGATTCTATATGTCTTTTCTAAAGTGATCAAAATTAGGCCAGAATAAGACCTTAACATTAAATTTTTCAATTCAAATCCCCTCTTGTTCGATTTATCATAACTAATCCAATCTTCAAATATTTTTTTGTACATACTAAATGTAGTAATTAATGAAATCGATTTATCCGTAGGAACACTGAATGAACTCATATCCCATTCCACTTCTTTCATATCATATGAGACAAATATACCGTTTTCAAATAAAGTTGCCTTCAAAAAGAAGAAAGCATAAAAGACACCTAGTGATTGTAAAACAGGATGAAGTGATAGACCTAAACTGGAACTTAAATATGGAGATAAACCATTGTACGATGGATGAACCATTTCTGGGAAATATTTATTATCTAATTCAAAACAATGATTAACGAGATTTTTGAAAATCGAGAACGTTAAGAGGTGTGCCTGAATTGAGATATTCTTAAGAAGCACAGATCTATGATTTAACAAAATAAATCCTACGGAATAGAAAATCGTGATAATGTCGAGTATTGTAAGTATTAGCCTAATATCTCCAAATGTAAGTTCTGAAATTAGATCTGGATCAGTAGCATACTTTATTGGCTTTAATTCTTCATCTAAAAATTTGAGAATTACCTGTCCATGTTCAACTACCTTTGGAGTACCTGTCTTTTTGTAGAATTCACCTATCATAGGTCTCACTAAAAATAGAAATCGTCTCATCTTACCGAAAAATGACTGATCTTTTGTAAAATCTCTTCCTTTGCTGGTATCTGTTGACGAGGAAGTTGAATGCGTACTATTAGGACTATTTTTATTACTATCAGGTAATATAGAAGTCAAACGTGGCGGAATTAAGCAAAATTCTGGGTTTGGATCAGTCTTGTTTAGACCAAATTCATTATTCATCACATACCCATATAATTCAAGGCTATTGTCTTCTTGATAATTAATATCGTTAAACGTCTCTAAATCAATATCCAAACGTTTGCCAATTCTAAGCGACAATTCAAAATCAAAGTATAATACCCAGGTCCATAAATTTTCAATGGTTTCATAATGACCACAAACAAGGTCTCTATTTCTATAAATTTCTTTAATATTCAAATGCAAACCTAATGTTCTTGCACATGTAGTCAATTGGCTGACAATTCCTATTAAACTCGTCTCATCTGCTTTCGGAGCAAAACTGGAAGTGTAGAAAATTTGTTGTAGCAAAAATTGGGCCTTTTCAATATAACTAGTCTTTGGAGATACTAAACCTGTCAAATAAGTGATTAATCTAAATATTTGAACAGGTATATTATTTCTAAATTTTGTAAATACTAGAATCATTAGGATCACGGCTATCTTAAAATAATTTTTCTTATTGGTGGGTTTTAGTTGAATAATTGTCCCTTGACGATCCTGAATAAAGGAATATTCTAAATCATAAAGAATTTTACGTTTATCTAGAAATGTATTCATTTCATATAAATTGCTATTCTTTTCATCAAAGAAATCATTAATATAGCTTTTAATTGAATCGAAATCAGGTAAACATGGTAGAACATCATTAATAATCGATGCTGAATCTCCAATTTCAAGTTCCATTAAATCAAGTTCACTCCTTGTGTTAGTCTTATATTTTTTCTTCCAAGTATTTCTCTCTAATTTAATTTTTTTCCACAATTGCATATATTTATCCTTAAACCCCCAATTATTTCTCATAATAAATGTACGAAGTGCTGTAGGACCATATGTGATTGTTCTACCATTATCCTTACATTGAATATAATAATAATTTCTAAATGGATTTGGAATCTTATCATCTATCTCTGATCCTGAGCTACCAGTTGCACTTCCAGCAACACTAGCAAAATTAGAGCCCTCATATGTAGATATATGACTATCTGTGGGACTATTTTGTTTATCAGGAGAATTAGGGTCGTGGTTTTTCATTAAACCATATCTAATATCTGATATAATGCTATCAGAAGATGCACTATTCTTAATCGCAGATCTTGCAGATATAGTAGTACCATTAACACTTGATGTAGCCTTTCCCGAGGGTTTAGAATTGGAATCAGTATATATACATTCATGCATGTCTCGAGATTTACAACTAGAACACATAGGTTTCTGTTGATCACATTTCAATTTTCTTTTCCTACAAAATGCACATGATCTGATTGGTTTATGTCTCTTTGATTTTGGTTTATTCACTTTTCCCCCCTTTGATTGAGTTATACTCTCACTTGGGGTAGGCAGAAGCAAAGCATCCACATCCAATTTAGTATATCCATTCTTAACCATGTCGGATAAATGTATCTCTGTTTTCGTTTAAGCAACCTTAATATATATTCGTTGAAATTTATTTTAATAACTCGAAACAATTGAAGCTAAAATAAAACTACCGAATGTAATCTAATTTCCCTGAAACAGTATCACAAAAAAGACCCAATAATAAAAAATCAATAGGGAGACTCTTTCCTTTTCTTTCCTCTGACTTTGGGAATCCTCGATGGCTAGCTGTCATCAAGATCAGGTGTATAGGTATGTATATATTTGTATGCGTAAGGCTTGCATGCTATCTCATCACCCGTCCATTTTACGTTACGATGACGGGCTGAACGGTAAAAGCGCAGAGCTCCGACTCGTGCACAGTGATGTGAACACAACCCTTTTCAAACCAACGAGATTCAATCGGTTGCAACATCTTATGGACAGTTGTTCAAGAATTAAATATATATATGTGTCTATATATCTTATGACTCATGGATCCCTTAATTGGTTAATTCCTCGTTTACTCAGTAGTTTGCATTCAAGTTACGACAGTTGAACTCTGTTTCTAAGCTATTCAAAAGAGGGCAAGAATTCCAGATCTTAGGAAAAATCAGATCAAGTGAGATTTGTTTGGGGGTTTCTTCTTCTTAAGTTTTACTTAGGTATACATTTGAAACCTTCATTTTCACGGTCAAGTAGTGTAGGTTGCGTAACAAGTAGGGGTTAGGACATTTCTGTGCCAAATACTCAACTTTGTACTTCCTTATTATATCACAAATATTCTGTTGCATTATGATTCGTGCAGTATGACAGGGTCTTACTACCTTTATTTACCTGATCAAGATCTTAAAATATAAATCTTGCAATGGAAACGTATAGCTACCAGAGTCAAAGAATTGCGACGCACACACACATGTTGACCTCTTTTTATCTAGATTTATCACATAGAAGTTACAAGAATTAGGTAAATTCCACTCCCTTTTTATCAAATATTTCAACCTAAAAGACAGGTTTTTTTTTGTTTCCAATAAACAACAACAACTTGTGTATCTAATTTATCCTTAATCATAATTGACACTTGCATACGTACGAAAGTAATTTCAATATGTAAAACTCACAAGTCAGCGATACACCCTCTGAAGTTAAACGGATCCTTAACAAATCAGTAAGTTCAAAATGGTGTGATTCTCGCTTAATGGTTGATCTATTATGAAAGGTTGCAGGTTCTATTATTTTAATATTTTAAAAGTTGGTCTGCTGGAAACAATAGTTTGCACGTGCCGTAGAGGAAAAGTGATGAGAATTTCACTCTTTCTTTAGCAAACTAGTCGCCAATATATATCAGTAAGAATGCTCACCAAGCATAGATATATAAAGGAGTGCATGTCTCTAATCATTCTGAGATATTAAAGTTCCCCTTTATTTTTTGGTGTTGTGACACATAGAGGAAGAAAGAGAGTCTTTAATGGTCGTGAGGATTAACTGCTTTTACCAACGTTTCTCATTTTTAAAGGATGTCTAATATTACAGAGTCAAAAGTTGCTCGTGTTGGTAGAGAAAACCAAGTATACTCTGAAAAGACTGGTGCTAGAATTGTTGCTGGATGCGTATGCTTGACTGCCGATCATAGCAAAGTGTTAATGATCAACTCGTCCGCAGATAGAAATAAATGGATTATACCTAAAGGTGGTGTGGAGAATGATGAAGTCGTTACAAACGCTGATGGAACGATAGATTACAGTAAGACTGCAATTAGAGAGACTTGGGAAGAAAGTGGATGTGTGGGAGAAATTGTTGATAAATTAGGGTTCGTAGAGGATATGCGTCCACCAAAGGAATGGAATAATAATTTTAAAGATGAAATACATAAAGATAATATAATTGTTCATCCACCTAGATCAGAATTTCATATTTTCGAAATGCAAATAGTTAAATTAAAGGAAGAATTTCCTGAATCTCAAAAGAGAAATCGAAAGTTAGCCAGTTTTGAGGAAGCTAAACAAGATCTTATCAATTCAAAGAGACCAGAATTACTCGAAGCTCTTAAAAGGTCAAGTATTTTAAAGGAGTAATAAATTAAACTTTGTAAGAATGAGAAATTTTAAGAACAATTACAAATAAATGTTTCAAATACTTGTAAGTTAGAATAATATTTATTCTTTTTGGAATGATACAAAAAACAACACAAAATAAAATAATTTGAAAGATTTATTATATTTATATATCACGTTACATCTATTTAGATCCACCCAGAAGACCTGACATCATATCTTGTAAGAAATTGGATTGTCTTTGTGCTTGGATACCAAAATATTCTTGTCCTAGAAATTCAAGTTGTGGAGCAAATTTAATTTTTAATTCTTTGTAATGTTCATTGAGACTTTGAAACAATGCTTTATTTTTTGTTTGACATGTCAATATTAGTAATTGTAAGAAATTCAATTCGTAACAATCTTTAAATAAAACTAATTTAAAATCCTCATCTTGACCTGGAATTCTTTTACTAATGATTTCATATTCCAAATCTGGATACTCCTCAACGTATTGTTTTAAGAATTTTTCTTTTGCCTCATTAGCAAATTTAATATTGGAGATGAATAAATAATTGAATATTAATCTACTGAAAAAATCTCCCACTAAAGTTAATTGTGGTGTATTAATACCCTTTTGAATCTCTTCATCCACAGCTTGAACAAACCAATTCCACACTAATTCAATGTATTTCCCTACAGAATCATGCGTACCCAACATGAAATATCTTTCTGCCTCATATATATGTTCACCTTCAAATAATTTCAATGCAATCACATTATGTAAATATGGGTCACCAAATTTAAAGTCACTAAATTTTATAGACCAATTATTCATACCAGTTATTACATCCTTCATATTTGGTTCTGTTGGTTCAATTAGAACCAGCAATTGAATCAATCTACCTGTAGAACCCTCATCCACGGTTACTTCAGCTTGATCATATATCTCTAACAAATAGAAGATAAGATCAGTACCAGACCCACCTTGCTTAGCTTTTAATAATGAGGTGGCACCTTGACTGACCAATTCGATGGCTAATTCATAAGTTCTAGCTCTGACATATCTGTTTGCAATTGTCCTCAGAGTTTGATGTGCTTCATAATAATCTCCTGCAGCAATTTTACTTTCAAAACGATGCAAAGTTTTGGCCAATTTCTGTTGTATAACACTATTTTTATTTTCAGTTGTCATTACTTTATTTCTTCCGCTAACTATCGATAACTTCTCACTCAATCAGAATTTGGTATTTACAGTGACTAACTAACAAAAACAAGAACAAAATTGAATCCTGTGAAAGTTCGATAACCAATAGAAGTTTTACTCACTTTACAGAGTAAACTCTTGTATTGAATATAAATATTAAAGAACAGCTCTGTTTCTTCTTCATTCAACCAAACTTCATATTTTTTCATTTTTTTTGTCAAAGAACGAGAGAGAGCTTTATTTGCAAATTGAAAGGATCAGGCTACGTATAAAGTTAAATGAATATTTCATTAAAACGACAGAAAACCTCTAAAGAGGAAGAATAAATTGTCAAGTAAGATTCTTCAAGTTCCGACTTTTGGGTTGTTTAACTTGATAATTTAAGAAAACTTTGGTAAGCTAGCCGATGTCTGAAGAAACTACGACTGATGCGGCCAAGAATATGGCTGTTCAGTTGATTAACGAGGATAAAGAATTCTCTCAAGTGTTACCAGTTTATTTTAAGGATTGTTTAGGAGATAGAGACATCGATCAAAACTACCATGTTATCTCTGTATTCGGTTCTCAATCAAGTGGTAAATCTACACTATTAAACCTTTTATTTAATACTAGTTTTGATACAATGGATGCTCACGAAAAGAGACAACAAACTACAAAGGGTATCTGGCTTTCTCATACACAAGCTGTAAACACAAATAAAGGTTCTCATAGTAATCCTGGATCTGATATATTTATTTTGGATGTGGAAGGTTCAGATGGTGCCGAGCGTGGTGAGGATCAAGATTTTGAAAGGAAAGCTGCCTTATTTGCTATTGCAGTCTCTGAAGTTATGATTATCAACTTATGGGAACAACAGATTGGTTTATATCAAGGTAATAATATGGGACTATTGAAAACTGTCTTTGAGGTCAATTTATCTCTCTTTGGGAAGAATTCCAAACAAACAGATTCATCTTCACAATCTCACCAACACAAGATGTTATTATTGTTTGTGATTAGGGATCATATCGGTGTGACTCCATTAGAGAGTTTAAGTTCTACTTTAACAAGTGAATTAGAAAACATATGGAAAGATTTAAGTAAACCTGCCAGCTGTCAAAATTCCACAATTTATGATTTTTTTGATTTAAAATTTGTTGGTTTAAGTCACAAGATTCTAAGGGCCGATAAATTCTTAGAGGATGTTAAGACTCTGGGAGATAACTTCTCAACTAAAGAAAATAATGAGGAATATTTGTTTAAATCAGAGTACCACCACATGCTACCACTTGATGGTTGGAGTATGTACTCTGAAAATTGTTGGGATCAAATTGAAAATAATAAGGACTTAGATCTACCAACACAACAAATCCTTGTTGCAAGGTTTAAGACCGATGAGATCATGAATGAAACATTAGCCAAATATTTTGAAAATTATGACTCTAACGTAAAACCATTGATATTAGAAAACAATAAAGATGCTTTGATTGAATTATTGGTCTCTATAAAAAGCAACTCTACTGATATGTATGATGATTTAGCAAGCCGTTACGCTAAACTAATTTATCTTGAAAATAGGTCTAAGTTGCTTTCAAAGATCAATGACAAATTCCAAGAAACCATTGAATTATTTATTCAAGGTACATCTACAGAGTTAATAGATTCCTTAAAGAAATCATTATCTATAAAAGACAACGAATCATCGTCTTTCAACGAAATTTTGATTCAAATATCACAGGATATCACCACAAGCTTTCATGAGTTCATCGATAGCTTTAAAGAGAAAGATCTGATTAATGAAACTTCAATCAACGAATTGAACGCTAAGTTCAATAAATTCTTAAACAAGAAGCAAAATGAACTTCGTGATGCGCAAGTTAAGAGCATTATCTCCCAGTTCAAAAAGAACATGAATTTTGCAATCAAGGATAATGTAATCTCATATCTGGCTAACCCATCTGATGACGTTTGGGATAAAGTTATGACCTTCTTTAAAAGATCAATAGATGAATTGTTAACAAAATTCGAAACAAAATCTGATGAAGGTAAGAAAATGTATGACTTCCAAGTTGGGTTTACCGTAGAATTAAATGACACGATTTACAAAAGGTTAAGTTATATAGCATGGTCTTTATTAAATGTTACCGTTCATGATTATTTGAAAGAAGATACTGTCATTGGAATACTTAGGGAAAAATTTGAAAATTCCTTCAGGTATGATGAGAATGACACCCCAATCCTTTGGAAGGATGAGAACCAGATCGATAATGCTTTCAAACTTGCTAAAGAAAAGGCTTTGGATATTTTTGGAGTTTTATGCATTGCCAAAACTACTGATAATATAGAAATTATACCGGATATCAGGGTTGAAGATGTAGAAATTGAAGACGATCTAGGAATTTATCACTTAGAGAGATTTGCTCACATCATAAACGAAATTCAAAAGGAGAAAATCTTGAGACAATTTAGAAGACAAATTAACTTAAGTGTCCTTGATGCAAAGAGATCAATGATTACTACTACTACGCATATTCCAATTTGGGTCTATGCTTTACTGGTAGTTCTTGGTTGGAACGAATTTATGATGATCCTGAGAAACCCATTACTAATCACGTTACTGTTGTTAGGTGTGGTAAGTGCATATTTTGTTAATAAATTCGACCTTTGGGGACCTGTATTAAACGTTGTCAATAGTGCGATAGGAGAAACAAGATCTACAATTAAGGATAAACTGAGAACGTTTGTGCTTGAAGAAGGTGAATTAGATCAAAGAAATGCAAAGCAGACTCCAGAGGAATATGAAATGGATGATTTTGAAGGAAAAGACAAGGTCGTTATAGATGAAAAAAAAGACATTAATGAACAGTAGGTATAGAATAACTGCTTGTATAGTCTATTTATTTTAATGTTGTTTTTATCGTTACTTAATGAAAAATTAGAATGCTTATTTAAATATACATATCACTAGTTTTGATAATTTGTCAAATAGTATTTGAAATGGCACGTTCCCAACCTTCTGTAATCATTTGTAATTTCTCACATTCTGCCACTGCCCTTTTAATAAACAAGTGCACTAGAATATCACTCCAGAATTGTTGAAATACACGGAGAGTATCCTTTTGTTTTGGTACACTCGTCAAATCTATAGGGAGGTCCTTCCAACTTTCTTTTGTAAGATTGCTTCCACGAAAATACTCAGAAAATACAGATACCCAATATGTGTACATACATTTAGAGACTTCAGCTAAATTACGTAAACTGTTAGGATCATAATCCAAAAACTCGAGAGTATCACCATATTCGTCTAACATTACATATTTTGTTGATTCTATCACCATGGTCCTGACTTCTTCAAAGATATACGCAGAAGTTTCAGTGAACGGTAGTTCAGTTAGTTCTGTATGTGAAACAACAGGAACACATTCGGTTGAAATGTCTGATAATGAAGGATTTAACTGTTCTGTCATTGAACCAAACCTATACTTACTCTCCTCATATGCAATTTTTGCAATAAGTTCACCCGTCGTCCCCTTTCTGTATGATACCGTAAGGACTTCTTCGGTTAATGCCTTAAGGCAAAGATTTTTATCATTCGACAATAATATCACGAAACAATGCTGACGTTCCTTAAAGTATAGGCAACAATCTAGTATTGAATCGTCCTTAATTGCATTGATATTTATTCGTTGAGACAACTTTTGACCGATGACACCGCTCGCAGTATTTGCTAAATGGCCGTATATCCATCTATTTGCAGCTCTGGCAGCTTCACCGACATTCCTATATCTATTGTGATTATTATCATTCTGGCAGTTATCAATTACCCTGTCTGATGTTTTTAACCCGTCTAACTCTCGAATTGTGTATCTTGGTATGATAATTGTATGATGATATTGCGTGAATAACGATCGTAAAGTTTCTAGAATATCAAGGTGCGATATTATAAAATTCGTATCTATCACAAAACAAGTTGGTACATGTGGTTGAGGACTCCCAGTTGAAATGAATTCTTGGTTAGAATTATCTATGGGAATTGCACTACGAAAAGTTGGTTGAAAACTATTTTCTACATTATCTAATATCATTTCTATATCATCATCATCTCTTGCATCAGTAGGCGCTATCTGAAGCCCCTTTTTAAATATATCATCATTCTCTATGTGCTGGAACGTATGCTGTTCATCTTTTATATTCTGTTGTATTGTTTCCACCTTTTTTCTATCTCGATCAACATGTAAATAGTCGTCTAGTTCATCCAATGAATACTTCTGATGACTGCCAATATTAGGAGTTCGTGCATGATTCTTGTTCTCTTTTCTTAATTCTTTCTTTTTGGAATGATCGTCATTACTATCATATATAGACTCCAACATTATTTAACTAGGTGAAGCATTTGCAAATACTTGTAACTTTTACAATTCCAACTTATGACTTTTTGAAAACATTTTCAAGAAAGTTAAGAACTTTTTAATGAATTCGTCTTTTAATTTTTTTTTAGAATAAATTGGAAGTACTGTGTCAGCGTTCGATGACTTATGAAATAAAAAACAAAAAGATGAAATTATGGATACAACATTACGTATAATTAGCTGGTTATATATTTGATACTACTTAATATATCACCTAGTAATAATGATTTTCCTGTAATTTGTTTACTCGGAATTACTTGGATACAACAGCAGATCATTTCTTGCAAGCTGTCCTCTGACATCTGCATTTCGGATATAGCAATACCTTCTAAAAGCATTAAAGATAAGGAAGTTAACGTTCCTTGAACAACAGGAGGCAATTTTAGCCTAACGACAACATCTTGATTTTTGGATATTGGAGAGTGTCTTGTCGCATACTTACTACGAGAGTTTATTTCGTGCAACAGGGTACTTCGCGTTTGAAGTAAATCCCATAAGTCTATGAACCTCTTAGTTAAAAAGTCTCCGGAATAATGAATCATTTCTTTGACGCAATTACATGCAGAGTTAACAACAGCATAATCTTTATCAAATACACATTCAACCACAGAATCCCATGTTTGTGCAACTTGTGGCAACATGGAGTTGTACTGAGTAAATAAAAGAGGGACGACTAATGAACTTACTTCCAAAATTTGTATTTTAAGTGGCTTCGAATTATGTTTTAATAACCGATCCCCATAAGCAAATATTTGCAGCAGAATTTTATAAGATTCTTTAGGAATTGGGGACACCCATTCTTCTTCTTCATCATTTCCCATTGAATTACCAGTAATTTCATTATTCTCCTTGTCGTCTTCATCATCACTATCAGCTTCGTCATCACTATCGGCTTTCATCTCATTAAGTTTTTGATCAAAATATTCTTGAAAACTTTTAGGTTCATTCTCATCTAATTTTATATCTGTATTACCATTAAGCAAATCATGTTCATCGGACTCACGGTCCAATATATTCAACATTTGCTGAAAATTTGATATACCCCATGGAGCAAATGTAGCAGGCATAATATGTTCATCACTCAATAGCAAAGTCTCCGTATCTAGATAAGCATGTTTCATTTCAATAACCACAACTTTAAATAATTGAAAGAATTGTAAACACAATTCAGAATAACCATGGTAAAAATCTATCAATTTGAATATTGTCTCCAATATATCTCTAAATGCCTCAATTGCTTTATATCCAACCATCTTGTAAATTACCATTAGCATTGTACATACACGGTCAGTCAAGCCAGAGTTTAATTTAATCGATATGGTATCAATCAAATAATCCATATTTTCTGATATTAAAGCTTTTATATCTCCTTCATATAATTCATTTGCAATTGCAGTGGAACATTCCTGAGCAAAATGTCTAATTTGGGGGGAGCTGGATGCCAAACTTTCGATCACAATATAAAGATAATCTATTAATTCATATTCAAAATTGTATTTTAAAAGAGAAGACACTGTCTTGATGGTAGACAAAGCCGTACAGAGACTAACTTCTTGTTCTTTATTTATTGTCCGACCTTCAGTAGCAACTGTAATCTCACCTGCTAAACTATTCGAAAACTCCAAGGCAGCATAGCATGCTTCTGTTACGTCAGCAGAAACCGTAGACTGGTCATCATCATCGAACGATAAATATTGGTCGACCCCATCCTGCCTGGTTTCTTCATCCTCGCGAGCCCCCATGAGCAAAGAATCTATGACCCATAATGTGATCGTGCGATTCATTAATGATTGCTCATTCCGATCAATATTTGATATCAAAGTTTCAACAGTTTGCAATAGATAATTATTTGATAATTCTTTTCCAATGTGGTTCAACAACAATCTTACACTATTTTCAGTCTCATTTGTTAACTTATGAAAAACTCTAACCCCCAACTGTGATGGCTTGGAAAGGTCAAAACTGTCCGAAACAATAATGCTACTTGATTGTTCTATGATAACATTTTCTTTTCTATTAGCATAAAGTTTACTGGACTGATTTTGAGAGTCAAGACTGCTTATAATTGTACTAATCACAGACATCAAAGTATTGTTGTCTATATTGTGAGTCGAAAGTGTTCTTAATGAGAAATCTAAAATTTTAATACTCCTGCTAGTATCGAATTGTATATGTGTATGAAGATGCTGTAATTCTTTATTTACTTGGTTCTTGATAAGTGGTATATTTTGTGATAGTTGGGAATTTGGATCGGCTTGTAATTCAAGCAATATCGATATCAGTATCTCTTTGCAGACTACCAAGGATAAAGAACAACTCGCTAAGATATTTGATGCAAAGTGTACTAATGATTCGTTGATCAAGTTATTGTTACGTTTTAACAGTCTCGGTATAAAACTTTGGAAAGCAATCCTAACTTGAGAAGAAGTACCCTTGAGCCAACTTGTGTTTCTATGATTTGTTTCCAAATTGAAATTACTACCCATTATGACATCATTATTTTTAAATTCTTTTATTTTACCTTCATCACTTGTTAAAGCAGTCACATCTTCAATTACATTGATTTGAACACCCAGTTCGATATCGTCGTAAACTCTTGTGAGCAATGACTCAAGAAGATTTAATGCATGGCAGACAACTTTATAGTTGACGTTACGACCTGGAATGACAAGCAATTTGGATATGGCAGATACATTACCTGGGAGAATATATGAAAGTATTTCACCATCTTGTATGATATTGTTGTATAATATTGATAAAGTATTGATACATGCAAGTTGAGTATTTGCAGATGATGACGAGTGTTGTAATATATTTAAAAGAATGGTTATGGAATGGGCCATTGGTTGCATTGTTTTATTCTGTGTAGTAAAAAAATTATTTCTATAATTTTGTGTTTCAATGGACTTAGTGAGAGATAGCAATACAGTGGCGGCCACACGTTTGAATTCAGTTGATCTTCTTTGTAAAATTGATTCATCCTGAGATTCATCAATCAAGTACGTAATAATAGGGAATAATTGTTTAGCTAATTCCTCAGGGAAGGAATCTGGTTTACTCCAGGCTGATCTTAACAGATATGATATTATCGAAAGAACGTATTGAGAGGCGGTATTTGAAAGAGACTCTTGTTTCAGTAGACTTCCAATAGGAGTAAATATATAATCTGCCAGCTGTGGAGGCATCTCCAATTCCTTATCGTGGCCATTATCTCCTGGTATTAATTTCTGTAAGACGTCGTCAACTGCTCGAAGTGCTATGATAAGGTCGTTGCTATTTGGATCAAATACATTTTTTGGTAAAAATGCTATTTTCGACAGGTCAACACATGGTTTCCTTAATAATTCAAATGCAGACATCTGTTGAGGAACTCGTAGTGATATGTTTTAACACAATGTTAGCATAATCTCTAAGGTTTTCTTTGTGTTTAAAGTGGCAATAATTTTAAATTTCAAAATATGTAATAAAAAGATTAGCGCCCAATGAGTTAAAATAAAAGAAATTAGACTGTTATTATATAGATATAAAAGATCCTAAATTAGATTTTTTTTTAAAAAGAAGGTTGTTTCTTCAATATATATATATATTTATTTTATTTGTTTTAGATTAAGTGTGTATATAGTTTAAGTATATATCAATGAATGTATATATGTTTCCAGCTAATGCAAAGATAAATCTATCAATTATTAAATTCCTTAAGAAATGAAATTAATAGAAAATAATTGCATCAGTGACACTGTATGAATAAGGCATATGATTTAGAAATTGGCCACAATGAATGTAATTGTATGTTTCCTACACATGATTATGATTGATTCCTTTCAATTCAATATATCTTCTACTTTGTTTTGATGAAAAAACCAAAAATAAATTTAACTGCTAAGTGACTTGTAGTAACGATTATGAAACAGTTTAAAGAATTATTTTGGGTAGTAATAATAAATGAGTACGATTAAGATTGTTTATTGTAAAAAACAAACAAATCATATTGGTAACCTTTTTCTATATGAAATAGATGCAATGTGACATAGGTAACTTCAATCATCTAGTCTCATCTATGACAAAAAAATTTAGAAATAGATACCATATAATCCAAAACGTAACATTTAGCACAAATGCTATACTACCAAAAGGAAAAACTCTTTAAGTACAACCGTTCTAAAAGAAAAGACTTGTAGCGAAGTTAAAATAAAATAATTTAATCATAAAAAAAACATAAAGTATCATAATTAAAATACGTTGTGAATCCATAACAAAAGGATCAAAAAAACCAGGGATGTGAACATGGGCAATAAGAGTTCATTTCTGATTTCTTACGAGAAGGAAAAAGTGCCAATAAAATAAAAAAAGCGATCAGTAGCAGTTCATAGAAAATAAATACAGCATATCAATGGTTAGGCATACTTCTATAGATACCACTTAACCAAAAACCAGCGTTTTAATAAAAATAAAATTTAGCAAAAAAGTATATTTGAAGAAAATATTGTTTGTAATAGAATAAAGAGAGAGACAAAAAAAATACATCGTAATTGGAAGTAATTAGTTGTTTCCTCTTAACGTAGACGACGAGCCTCACGTTCAGATTCCATTAGAACAAGGATGTCGTTTTCTCTGACTGGACCCTTGACGTTTCTGACAATAGTTCTAGTAGTGTCTTCTAGAAATTCGACACGAACTTGAGTGACACCACCACGAGAACCGGTACGGCCTAGGACCTTGATAACTTTAGCTAGAGTGACTGGGGTTTTGGTATCCATTGTTGCTGTGATATGAGTGATATGGGGGGCTTCTCTTGAATCAAGAACTACTCTAACCTAAAAACAAACATAAATTAGCTTGTTTTCTGAAAAGTACAACTGTTTTATATAACTATAAGAAGAGAGAAAGCCAAACAACTTTTCGTTTCGTTTCGTTTCGTCGTCGTCGCTGGAATTTTCACTGAAAAAAAAAGAACAGAAAATTGTTTGCGTCTGTCATGTTTCACGACAGAAAATTTTTCAGTTTTATCACCGATCCGGCGATAGCGAGGTGTGACACTTTAAGATTAGGTAGAGAGAGGGAAAGAGGCCCCGATGATGATGATGATTACTTAAGCAGGAAAGGATTTAGAATGATTTGTGAAGTGGGAATTATTGTCTAGCTTGAGCAAATTGAAGACAGGTAATTGTGTCCTAGCACTCATATTATTATAATTAGTATAATGTCTTCTGTAGAAGAATTGACTACGCTGTTTAGCAAAGTAGGTTTTGAAGAACCAAAGATCAAAGAGATTGTTAAAAATAAGAAAGTGTCTACCTCTTTGGAGACCTTGATTGCTGATGCTCCACAAGGTTACGAATGGAATAAGTCAACTAGAAACTTACTACACAGTTTGGCCTCTCTGGTTAAAGGTGCAGACATCACTAACATCGGTTTAGTTGTCAAAGGTATTGCATCTGAAGATTTAAAGACTGCATTACAAGTTAATGCTGCATTTAAATATGTTAAAGAAAAAGGTGCAGATGCAACTACTGAATCGCTGAATGAGAATTCTGGTGTAGGCATTGAAGTCACTGATGTTGAAGTTCGTGCTTCTGTTGTGAAATATATTGAAGATAATAAAGAAAGCATTTTACGTGATCGTTATAAATTGGTTCCTGGTATTTTTGCTAATATTAAGAATTTACCTGAATTGAAATGGGCTGATCCACGTTCTTTTAAACCAATTATTGATGAAGAAATCTTAAAAGTTTTAGGTCCAAAGGATGAAAGAGACTTGGTAAAGAAGAAGACCAAGAAACAAACTGACAATAAGAAAGGTAAAAACGCCACCGATTCTGCAGGAGCTGCTGCTGCCTCAAATGAACCAAAGAGAACTATGTTTACTGAGGGTTTCTTAGGTGATTTACATAAAGTTGGTGAAAACCCACAAGCTTATCCAGAACTAATGATTGAACATTTAAAGGCTACTGGAGGTAAAGTACATACTAGATTTCCACCAGAACCAAATGGTTACTTACATATTGGTCATTCTAAGGCCATTATGGTCAATTTCGGTTATGCTAAACACTTCGATGGTGTCTGCTATTTAAGATTCGATGATACTAATCCAGAAGCTGAAGCTCCAGAATATTTTGAATCTATTAAGAGAATGGTCTCTTGGTTAGGTTTTGCTCCATGGAAGATAACTTACTCTAGTGATTACTTTGATCAACTATATGATCTTGCTGAAGTATTGATTAATAACGACAAAGGTTATGTATGTCATTGTACCGCTCAAGAAGTGAAAAAATGTCGTGGTATTAAAGAAGATGGTACTCCAGGTGGTGAAAGATCTGCTTGTAAGCACCGTAGTAATACAATTGAACAAAACTTGGAAGAATTTAGAAAGATGAAAGAAGGTCATTATCAACCTGGTGAAGCTACTTTAAGAATGAAGATGGATCTAGAGTCTCCAAATCCACAAATGTGGGATTTAGTCGCTTACAGAGTTTTGAATGCTCCACATCCAAGAACAGGTACTAAATGGAAGATTTATCCAACTTATGATTTCACTCACTGTTTGGTTGATTCCTTTGAAAATATTACCCATTCCCTATGTACCACTGAATTTTATCTATCAAGACAAAGTTACGAATGGTTATGTGATCAAGTTCATGTATTTAGACCTGCTCAAAGAGAATACGGTCGTTTGAACATTACAGGTACAATCTTATCTAAGAGAAAGATTGCTAAGTTGGTCGATGAAAAATTCGTTAGAGGTTGGGATGATCCAAGATTGTTTACTTTAGAAGGTATTCGTAGACGTGGTGTTCCACCGGGAGCTATTTTGAATTTCATTAACACTTTAGGTGTTACCACTAGTACGACAAACATTCAAGTTGCTAGATTTGAAAATGCTGTTAGAAAGTATCTAGAAGATACAACTCCAAGATTAATGTTTGTCCTGGATCCAATTGAAGTTATTGTTGAAAATGTTGCTGATGATTTTGAAGAAGTTGTCTCTATTCCATACAGAGCTGGTACTCCAAAGTTTGGTGATAGATCTGTCCCATTCACCAAGAGATTTTACATTGAAAGATCTGATTTCTCTGAGGATGCTTCTGATGCTGAATTCTTTAGACTAACTCCAAAACAAGACGTTGGTCTTGTTAGGGTCCCTCACACAGTATCCTTCAACAGATTAGAAAAAGATGAATCTGGTAATATAACAAAGCTTTATGTTAATTATAACAATGCCCCATTAAAGGAAGGTGAAAAGGCTAAGAAACCAAAGACTTATATCCAATGGGTTCCAATCTCAGCAAAATTCAACTCACCAGTTAGAGTAGATGAAACCAGAGTTTACAACCAATTGTTCAATTCTGAGAACCCATCTGCACATGAAGGTGGTTTCTTGAAGGATATTAACCCAGATAGTGAAATGGTATACAAACATGCTGTTATTGAACATAACTACCATGAGGTCATCAAGTCTGCCCCATGGGTTGTTGACTCAATTAAGGAATCTGAATTCTACGTTGAAGAAGACAAGACAACCAAAGAAACCTTTAGATTCCAAGGTATGAGAGTCGGTTACTTCACGATGGACAAAGAAAGTAATGACGAAAAGATTATCTTGAACAGAATTGTTAGTTTAAAGGATAGCACCTCCAAATAGGTCAAAATTTATATTTGAAATTTAAAATGGAAGCCTCGCACCTTCCTTGATATAGTATATATAGATGCCCATCTCATAATATATAGTAGCTCCGCATGTAACACCACAAGAGGTAGGATGATCTTTCATCTTTCGTTTTCACTCTAGCGTCAGGCGTCACAATTATTGCAATATTGTCATCTTTTTTTTTTCTACTGTAAAAAAAAACAATAATTTAATAATTGTATAAGTAATTTAAACATCATGTTCTAAATTATACCATTGTAGTAACTGAATACATTTTATGTTATTTCCGATAAACTAAGGTAGGTTAGTATAGAGTTTCGAGACAGAGTTTTTTAATATTCCTCCTAATGAAATCCATTTTTTTTAAGAGTATTAACGAAAATCAAGAGCACAGTCTCTTCGACAATGAAAATTTAACCCCATCGATTTATTTATCAGGTGAGGGACATGGTAGTGCAATAAATGAACTCCGTAATAATAGTTCAATTACAAGAAGAAACTCCAGAAATAATTATAAATCTTATGATTCCCGATATCAGATGTCAGTTCCAAAATGTAACACCAGTATAGGATCAGTGACTACAATAAAGGATGTCACAACAAATTATAATAACCAAGGCTTAGTCAGAAAGACAGAAATTGGGAAAAGATTGCCCTCTTCAAGTCATTTTATATCATTACCAACCAAAAAAGAAAATGATTTTGATTTTAGTATTCAAAATAAACAACTTCCTCTCCTTATGGGTAATATTTTAGATTTAAAATCACAAATGAAGCAATTAAAAGCAATGCCTTCTGTTGATGGGCCAATACGAGACGCTTCAAATTATATGATTCCACAATCTGAAGGAACAAGTTCCCATAATAGCATCCACTCCAGAGAAGTTCCAAATTTTAATTATTTTAGTGAACTGTCCACTAAGCCTTATATAGTAAATCCTGGCACTGGGCATTATTACAATATGAATTCAGATTATCAAGACAATAATAGTGACTTTTTTTCTGATACAAATCGAAGAATAGTAGATTTTAATGATTTCTCAACCACACCAAGTATTGGCTCACCCGATAACTCAGTTCAGGAACACTCTCGTCAAAGATCATTTGTAATAAAATATTTGAAAGAGAAATTTAGAAGTAATAATTTGAGAAACAATTCGGATTATTCACTGGCGTCATCTGGATCAAGAAGAAGAAGACATAGACGTCAATTAAGAATATATACTCATCGTATGAAGAAAAAAATCAAATATTCTATCTCACAAATGAGAAAAAAAAGATGATTCAACAATTTTTCTTTATTACTAATATTTACAAGAAACCATGAAAATGCTGATGTGCAAGTTGTTATTATTTTTGTATTTAATTATTAGACAAGCTTATATATTTGTGTGTATGTGGTGTAAAAATTAGATCATAGTATCAAACTCACTATCGATGTATGACCCATTGACTAATAAAGTCTTTACCAAACGTGGTAAAATTTCAACTTGTAATGTCTCCAATGGGAATTTTTCACCATCGACAGAGAATAAACCTTTTTGAACTTTTGGTACTAATCTATATGCTAGGACTTTTGCATGAATCACTTCAGGTTCTAATATATGTGTCCCTTTATCCAGAGATAGTAGAATAGGTGTTATTTTTGTCAAAGGTGTTCTTGAATCTGTAATGACCATATCAAAACTTCCATCTGATGGTAAAGCGGCTGGAAAGAATTTTGTATCTGCAGCCATATAAGGCATTTTCCCTGTATAAAAAATTTGTAAGTTGTTTGCAATATCTGGATTCAGTCTTTCCCAATCTTGTGGAATATCATCATTTAAACTATATTTTAATTTAAAATCAGCCTCTGTTAGATCATTATCTGATGCTAATTGTGCTTTACATTCTTCTGGTGTTGTTGTTTCTCTATCAAATAATAAAGTAGTCTTATTTTTTTGTTCAATATAATGAATATGAATATCTTTTTTATCTTTAACTGCGTATTTCACATAAAGATCACAAGGATATTTACGACCTTGTAAAACTGTGACAGCTACACCTAATTCAAACCTTGAAGGTCCCATCCATCTAATAAATTCAGTATTTATATCAGATTCAGCAATAACACCATAAGTTTGACTTAAGAATGATAATCTTGGGAATTCATTTACATAAGATTCTTGCGAACAACACATCATATCAATACGTGCCTCGGTAGATTTCACAAGACATAATGCTGCATATGATGGGTTGTTAGTCCAATGACATGATATACTCATTGCATTTCCTGAACCACAAGGTAATTGAGTCACAGTGAGTTTATTAAATGCAGCAACGCGGTCCGGCCGCTGATATAACCCATTAATAATTTCATATGGAATCCCATCCCCTGAAGCACAAGCAATTGTATCGTATTTTTCTAAATCGATTTCTTTTGCAATATCCATTGCATGGCATGCGTATTTTGTATAAGCAATATCAATCTTACATTCTGTAGAGGCTAATATTGGATGACACTTAGATTCATATAAAGTACGAGCTTTTCCTTTCCCACCATATGGGTTAATTACTACAAGAATTGATTTATGTCTCTTAATACCTTCAAAACTACGTTGTAAAATCAATTCAACTATATCTTCACTATTTTCTTGAGAGATCACACTAGTAGTACTACCACTGCCACTATTACCAACCAATTGATTCGTATTCGATCCGGAATTTCCTCCTCCAACAGTCGGAACATGTTCAATAGATAAATACAATTTCCTTGGTACAATATCATTACCATGGGGCACAACAAACGTCAATTCAATTAAAGAATCCGTAGAATCATGAAGTTCATCGTCGTCATCATCATCATTATCATTATCTATATTTTTCTTATCTATTTGATTATTAATGTTATTTTGTAAAACAGCATTAGGATCGCTAGGTCCTACAGTACTTTGTGTACGACGACCATACTCTCCGTCACGTGACAAGGCCAATGAATCTATTGATTTTGCATTAAGTATTCTTCTAAACGGAATCAATGTATTATTTGGTAATAATCCAACTTTTGAAGGATCAGATTCATAATCTGTAGTTAAACATGTAAAACATCCACTAAAAAATGATACTGATGAGCCATTTGGATTTCCTATTTGATCATAAGCATCTGTAACCGGACCTTGATTCTTAACTACTATACCTTCTCTTGTAAGTAGTGCTCTGGAGTAAGATTTCCTTGAATATGAAAACCGATCAGAATTATTCATCTATAACAAATAGTATTATGTGTGTAAGCGAAAGTGATACCAAAATATTTTTGTTGATTTTTTTATATGTCTGCAACTTCAGTATAAAAAAAAATTACAAATCGCAAAAGTTATTTTATTCTGTTATAAAAAACAATAGAAGCAACTTAAAGATATACCTTTGCAACAACTGAGACTCCTACCAAAAGCTGGTGTAAATGACGTTCTTAAGTCTTGGCAGAAATGGTTTGTTCATAGAGAGCTTACAATCAAGACCTTCCCATTGCACAGATATTTATAATGTCTTTATCATGTAATGTGGGTGATGATGACGAAAAGCGAAAAAAAAAAATTACGACTGAAAACTGCGCTGCACTGTTCTCTCTGTGTAATTCGCGCGTTACCAAGCATTTCGGTCTCAATTTGTCCGTCTTTCTCTCGGCAATAACAACTGCACTACCGCCACTAAAAACGGGGACCCGCGAATATTTTGACGCGGAGATTCGACGGGAAGCCAAAAATGGCGCGTAAACAAGAAGTTGAGGCGTCAGGTCACGTGGAGTGCACGTGACCCGGAGGTCGCTATCGGTTAGCTTAAGTGATTGAACTGGGACATGTTGCTACAGGGTGTGTAGTAATTCAGGATTGCCGGGATCAGGAGGTTTCACAGGTATTGGGTTGTACAAATGTGTACAGTTTGATCTTTATTATGGTGTTGTTGATGGGTTAAGTAGCACAAGTAATAATGGAGGATTCTGTGTTTGGAATGCGTTAAACGTAAGTGATTGTTACTGTCATGGAACCATAAATAATACAAGTCTCGCAAAGAAACGCTTGTAAAGAGATGCTGTAGGGCTCCAATAAAAATTATGTATTTCACGTTCTTTTAGTAAGAATGTACTCTGAAGTTATATATCAATGTTTGCATTGCACAAACTTATATAGAACGGTACAGAAAGTTATGGAAAACACAGCACGGGTACTACTTCAATCATATTATCTTTTAATACGTTATTTGAAGATTGAGTACTCCTTTCATTTATTATTATCGATAAATTGAAGCATAAACCTCTCCTCTTCATGGTGATGACTGGGAGATCAACTTGCAATGTCTTTTTTTCTTTAAAACTTTTAAGTGATTATTCAGAGAAAAGAATGTGGAAATGCTACGTGAATGGGTATTGAGCTTGCAGAAGGTATATCACATCAAGGGGTAAACTATTCATGATGGTGTCTGATAGATCCATAAGCAAATGCCAAATTTATAAGAATACTTGAGACAAAATTAAAAGGGGATCTTTCCATAAATGTCAAGAAACTTGTAAAATGTTTTTTGTTAATTGTCTAACTTGATTTAAAAAAAAGGATCGCATTATCACCATAACTTTCAAGGGGGGGGAGAATTGAAAGCCATCGACCAAAATTAATAACAGTAACAGAATCATCTGTATTGAGTACAATTGTCATAATAGATGAAGAACGTTTTTTGGCACAATTCTACCAAAAAAGAACAATGCTAGGCGGTACTCAGAATTTAGACCATATTTCCCGTTTAATAAGAATTGTATAACGACATGCTGCATTTGTGTAACGGAATAGAAATACCATAGTGCAGGAAAAAGTGTATTAATTTGAACATTCAGATGATGAGATCGAAGAACTTATCTTTTTGTTGTATCTAATGACATCGTTAGATAAGCTGTTCTATCAACTATAGCACAGTTCGAAAAATATTGAATGATGTGAAAGCCATGCACCAGCATAAAAAATTGCGATGTAACAGATTTAGTGCTCAGCGAATTGACATAGTTCTTTATTGAGACCTTATAGGGCACATCAGTGGAATAGCACCTGCCACAGTTGGATATATCAGTGGTTGTGCTGATGCTATTGTTCCGTGATGTTGTTGCAAGTTAGATGATGGTAGAACCAGTCGACGATGAAGTTTTCCCTTGTTGTCAGTCACCATTGTCATGCTAACTATATTCTTACCATATATCACATTTGACAGATACATCATTATTATTAATAATGTCGTGATCCCTAAGGTGTGCCTCATAGTAGTGTTATTGTTAATTGTGAAAAGTAGAATATACTTATCGCAGCATTTATCTCACTGTGTTGGTTATATGTTATCAATTTTTTAAATCCAAACATTTTAAGAAGGGGATCGATCCCTTCTTATAATGAATGAAATGAATGAGGGCACCGTTTCGCTCCGTTCGCTTCACTGAAGACTGAAGGATATTTATGTAAACATATTGAAATTGGACTACAAAACAAGAAGAGAGAGAACAAAGCTCTAGATATCGATTATACAGATATTTTATTTGGAAGGCTGACAGCTTATCTAGACTAGAGGTTCCATATTTACATAGGTTGAAATAATTTTTTTATGTCAAATTATAGCAATTGTAGGGATTCATATGTGCAATATCAACATCTTGCAAAATCACATAACGTTTTGTACCATGAATGGATGGATGATGGTGCATTACCAACACCAGATCAAATATTAAGAAATTTACCACATAGATCTCGTGGTAGTGATAATGGTGCTATTGATCAAGATGATACTATGATAACTAATGATATTGAAAGTACTGTAGGGTTTACTGTCTCAGATAAATATTGGGATTTCTTTTGTGATGATGAGCAATGGGAAATCTTTCATACTGCTAATTTAACAGTCGAACCTAATGGAAATTTAATGTTTAATAGAATGATAAGTGCTCAGGGACCATTAAACACAGTAAGTGGATCTGTAGGAAGAAATATATATCGAGCTGATGATGATAATCATAATAATAGTAATGATAATGGTAATAATAATAATAGTACTACTAATGATGATGGTGCAGATACAGATCATCATGGGGATAATAATCATGATAATGATAATCAGGATAAGGATATTGTAGTTGGATCTGCATTCGATCGAAGAACGTTACAACAAATTAAGCAGAAAGTTAATGGTTGGACAAATGGATTCCCAAACTTTACATAGATAATTCACCGATTGTTGTGTGTGTTTTGCTAATAATTAAATGATTAGGGACTCTTGTAAGCCCATTCAGTACATGATCTAGTCCATCAGTTTATTATCTATGATATTGTGCGAATTTTTTTTTGAACGAAGGCAAACGTGCGTTCATATCGTAATAAGATTTCATGGTAAGTCATAGAGTTTGCAAATGTTTCAAGTACTACTCAATCACGGATGAGTATTACTAAAAGCTTTAATATGGGAATTATAAACAACCCAATTCCATAATTTATCGATACAAGTTACTCACTAAGGTAAATCGAATATATGGAATTTTCTTTTGATATTTTAACTGTCATAGGAAACACTGTTCTCTTGATCTTACTTCGAGAAAAGAAGAAATTGAAATGTTTTTTCCCTTAATCCTTCGCACATATCTACATATTGCAGCCTTAAAAATAGAAAATTAGCTCAATTTGATTACTGTCTGGTTTATTAGTGTGGTGTAACTGCTAAAGTTTTACTTCTAAAACGCGCCTCTAAATTACATTTATTGGCTCTAGAAGGATCAAACTACATCATCCTGTAAGCTAGTTATATTCTATGATATATTGAATGAACAGATTATGCTTATAATACTAAAAGAATTGCTTCATTTTAGAAACTTTCTTGTATGATAGATTCTACCTAGGAACTGAGCTGATGTAGATAAGGTGATTTTGGATTCAAATTGATGGTTTATAATTAAATAATATGGTAGAAAGTTATGATTATGATTATCTGTAAGAAGATTGTACTGGATAACTGAAATATATCCGAATAATATTAATAGTTGGTATATGTTTACTGAGTGCCAAAACTATGTGTTCGTGGAACACAGCTGAGCTCCTCTCCCTTCTTTAAGAGAGAGAATGATTTATGCAAAGATATATAATTTACATAATCTACAAAAGTCTTCTCTTTATATACAAATTGTATGCACAGCAAGATCGCATTGCGAGAGACAAATAATTACAGGGGTATACACTCGTGCGCTCGAGCAGACGTTTTGATGTTAGATTCAGAATTAGTGTTCATTGTTTAATGATATTGTGTTGAGGGTTGATTACTTTGAAGATGGTTGTAGTTATAAAGCAAGTTTATTAATTACTTTGATCGAAAATTTGTAAGTGTTTTATCTTATTATTTAACTTACAGATCGATCAAAATCTAAATCAGATTGAGAGATCAGATTTGTTCGTTTTTATATATTCAATTTTTACTTTTAATTACACCCAGATTATTAAGTAATAGTCGTTAGGGGGTCAATTCCATTTTACTCCTTATTTTACTTGTCTGGTAATCCAATTAGTAGTTTTTACGTAATACTTTCGTAAACCCTTCGTATAGCAATTGGACCATGAATGTCGGAATTTACATGATAGAAGAATGACGTCAAGAATATAAAATATAAGTATAAAAGAATAATAAAGATTGTCAGATTTGATAATGTTCAATATTTAACAATCCAAAATGAGAAAAGATAATAATAAGACGCATCTAGAAACCATGCATAATTTCTACAATGCTAGTATTGGAGATTTATAATCACGAAATGTTACCAAATCCAAAGGTATATAAAGGGAACAATATTTCATCCATTGGAATATTTTATTTCCCTGATTATTTTGTATATTATTTATAATTTGTATACTAAAGAAATCAGACGACTATACGTTGATTTCTAATAAA